AGATTGACCAGAACGGTCCGTTTCAAATCCAGAACGGTCCGTTTCAAATCCAGAACGGCCCGTTTCAAATCCAGAACGGCCCATTCTAAACTCAAACATCATATGTAAAATTTACATCCAGAACGATCTGTTCTCAAATCAGAACGGCCCGTTCTAGGGTTGCAGTTTTACCCATAACAGCCAATTTGGAAGGCCGGTTCTCAACTAGGGTTTTTAAGCCAATTTACTAGTTTGGAACGGCCCGTTCTAGGCTACTAAATTATCCTTGTTTTAGTAGTTTGAAACGGCCCGTTCTGGGCTACTAACTACATTACACGCCTGGAAGCAAAAATATGCCACCATAATCGATTATGTGCCATGCATAATCGACTATGCTGGCTGAGGGTTCAGTTTTTCACCGCGGTTTGCCCTCCATTCGTCATTCTCATACCTCGGTTACCCTCCCTCATGCATAAAGAAATGAAGCTTACCTACAATGGCTGCCCCGTCGAGAATCATTGCAGCAACAACCACCCTCGCACGAGCACACAGCACACATAGAGCTTCCAAGTCTCTTATAAACGCGTCACTAGTGAGACCCATTCAGCCTCATTTCAAACGCGTCACTGTGCCATTCAAACGAAGGACAAAGGCCCGTGAACCATGGCAGAGATTCTTTGCTGCATGACATAGTCTCTGCATGCATGAGCATGGAAGAGCTTCATCTCTTTTCAGCTTTTAGGCAGGGGTATTATCGGGTTTTCTCATTTCTTACGTGGCTTTCATCTATTTTCTTCACAACTTCGCGAGGAACGGCCACGCGGGTTCTCCCGCTTTTCTTCGCTTTTCTTTCGGTGCAAATCAGCGAAAACAAACGTCAAGTTTCTTCACCTTTCGTTCGTCGCAGGGGCTTAATGATATTCATCTCGGTATTTGTGGTTTAAATTTGTCTACATTCCCGTCTTCAATATTTAACGAGTATGTAATTTTCATCATATTTCTGTCTTATCTTATCAAATATTGGATATATCCACACCCGTGTTAATACTTGTAAAACATAATTATTTTTTTAATAAAAATATATATAATATTTTTAACTTATTTTTCTGATATATTACAATAATAATTAAATTATTTGTCTATCTCATATTTTAATTAAGAAATTTTAGAAATACTAATACTTAAATATTAAAATTCAAGAACAATCAAAGAAGATAAATATTAAATTAAAAACGAAAAGAAAACAAGTAATTATATATTCATTCCTATTCTCAATTTAATATTTTAAATTTTACTCATATTCATACTCATACTTGATTAAATCAGATATTTTTTTATAAAAATTGGAGCGAGGTCAAATATAAACTAGGAATTTATTTATCATCCTGATAAGCGGTAGAAGGGTGATGAAGCTCCCTTAAGCCCCTGTTTGTTTCAGGGGATTTACTGTTCACGACGAACGAAAGGTGAAGAAACTTGACGTTTGTTTCCGTTGATTTGCACCGAAAGAAAAGCGAAGAAAACCGGGAGAACCCGCGTGGCCGTTCCTCGCGCAGTTGTGAAGAAAAGAGATAAAAGCCACGTAAGAAATGAGAAAACCCGATAGTACCCCTGCCCAAAAGCTGAAAAGAGATGAAGCTCTGCCATGCTCATGCATGCAGAGACTGTGCCATGCAGCAAAGAAATCTCTGCCATGGTTCACGAGCCTTTGTCTTTCGTTTGAATGCACAGTGACGCGTTTGAAATGAGGCTGAATGGGTCTCACTAGTGACGCGTTTATAAGAGACTTGGAAGCTCTGTGTGTGTTGTGTGCTCGTGCGAGGGTGGTTGTTGCTGCAGTGATTCTTGACGGGGCAGCCATTGTAGGTAAGCTTCATTTCTTTATGCATGAGGGAGGGTAACCGAGGTATGAGAATGAAGAATGGAGGGCAAACCGTGGTGAAAAACTGAACCCCCAGCCAACATAATCGATTATGTGCCATACATAATCGATTATGGTGACATATTTTTGCTTCCAGGCGTGTAACGTAGTTAGTAGCCCAGAATGGACCGTTCCAAATTACTAAAACAAGGGTAATTTAGTAGCCTAGAACGAGCCGTTCCCAAACTGGAACGGGCCGTTCCAAACTAGTAAATTGGCTTAAAAACCCTAATTGAGAACGGGCCGTTCCAAATTGGCTGTTATGGGTAAAAATATAACTGCAGAACGGCCAACAGGCCGTTTTGGATGTAAATTTTACATATGACGTTCAAGTTCAGAACGGGCCGTTCTGGATTTGAAACGGGCCGTTCTGGTCACTCTTGAATTTCTATAAATAGGACCTATGTGCAGTTGAGGAGGTGAGGTTTTAGAGAGAGGTTCTAGAGAGAAGAGCTCTAGGTCTGTGTGCTCGTTTCTCTCTCATCCAATTGTTAAAGTTCGTGGGTAAAAGTGGTTGATTTGTCATTCGTAGTTATTATATTTTTTTATGCATTATATGTAATGTTTTGCTAATGGTTTAAACATTGTAAACTTGACCATAATGTTATAAAAGTATTTATTAATGGTGAAAGACACATTTTAATGTTATTAGTTGCAATTATGTTTTATGGAATATGTCTTATGTTTAACGTCATATTTGTTATTGGTTATTTTATATATAATTTTCAGGTATGACATCCGGTTCAAGAAAAAAAAAGTTCAAAATAAACAAAAGGAAAAACTCCTGCCACCTCAGACAGAGCAGTTGTTCCCAGACTACCACAAATTGAACAAGTTTTAAATCAAACACGTTTTTTCAGCCAGCGTGATCAGATGATTAAATATGGCAAGGAGTTTTACCACAGGATAGTCCTTCATCCAAAGGTTATGGACTTTAGCTACTTTGTCACATCAGGGCTGTATTTTCACTACCATATAGAATATCAAGGTTTGCAGCATTTTGTGGCTCTCAAATGTGATTTCTTTAAAGATTTTATTAAGGTCTTCTATTCGAACTTGAGAGTATCTGAAGCTGGTTTCCTCTATAGTGACGTGAACAAAACAAAGATAAGAATAAAACCATCTGATTGATTAACTCTGGCTGGTTTGAAATATCAGAGGCAAAAATTACCATTTACAGACATCCCAGAGGAGATGTAGTTCGACCGTGACATAGCACTGACATCTATAATTAGACCAGAGCTGTAGGGCCGAAATGTCATAAATGTAGGAAGTCTTAACATTAAAGACAGACTCCTACATTATGTCCACGTCCATATATTGGCTCCCCGATCAAGTAATTTTTCCCAACTCTTGCAGGAAGACATTTTTGTGTTATGGGCCTTAAAGAATAACATTTTGATCAGCTGACCCCATTTTATCATGCAACACATGGTCAAATGCAAGGACAATGGGATGCCTCTTCCATACCCCATTTTAATTTCATGCATTTTGGCTGTTTCTGACGTAGACTTATCAATTGATATTGCAGTCGAATTAGGGTGACCACATTTTTTTAATAAAAAAACCTTGAAAAAATTAAATTTCGTCAATGTTAACGGGGTTTGGTTACATGGCAGGGATAATCATGATCATGGCCAAAATGTTGAAGATGAAGACCATGCAATGCTTGAGGACCATGCTGACGAGTAGCTTGCCGACATCACACAACAACCCTTAGTCCAGTATGATGGTCAAATGCTTTCCCAAATATGGACTGGCATTCAAGGGTTAAAAGAAGGAGTAAATAAGTTGTCCATCAATGTTAACAGAGGTTTCGATGAGTACATAACAGGCTTGATGACCTCGAACAAAAATTTGATGACTTTTAGTGTTCATTTGAATAAACTACGTTATTTTATTTTCTTTTTTATTATTGTAATTTAAATATGTTTTATTTAGTTGTAACATTTTTTATTTCTATTATTTTATGTCATATTTAATTATTGTTTACTTAATTGATGACTTTATTGTATTTTCTGTTCCATTTTACAAATATGTTATTACCCATCTACTTTGTAATGTTAAAAATTTCTTAATTTTTTAATTGGTAAAAATTAACTTGTACAATTAATAAATGTATCTTCATTTCATTCTAATTTATATCAATGATTTATCAATTTTTTTAATTTATTAATTAACTTTCAAAAATTTTATTGTACATTTTTTATATATTAAGAAAATACTATTATTTAAATATTGACATCAAAAAGTGAATATATAAAAAAATAAAGTAATACATGTTTATAAAATTAAAATAATAACACTTTCATAAACATTAATAAAATAATGTTAAAAAATATAATTATCATAATATATTTTGTTATTATTATTTATTATTATAAATATTATTATTATTATCATTATTATTAATATTATTATTATTTATTATAATTACTATCATTATTATTTATTATGATTCTTATTATTTTTCTAATATTTATTATTATTATTATCATTATTTTTTTTAATAAGTTATACTTATTAATATAATTTTATTATAATTATTATTATTTACAATAAATAATATTCTACTCATTTTTAATCCAAGTGTAAAAGTGTAAATTACATATTCATCTATTAAATTTTTAACTTTTATCTATTACATCAATCAATTTTTATACAAATTCTCACAAACTTTTCACTATCTTTCTCTTAATCCAAACAACCCCACTTTTTACTTTCTTTCTCTTCAAATCTTTCCTTTTTCACTCACTCATATCTATCCTTCAATCCAAACACAACCTAAAAGTTAAAAGAAAGAGGATTGAGTTATCTTCCTTAAAAAGAAGAATTTGTATATTAAAGTTTATAAATAATTAATGATTTATATATTTTTCTTGTATAATAATACTTTTTGAGGGATGTGTCCCTGGTACTGGGCAGAGTGATTGGCAAATGAGGAGTCAGCAGCTAATATGGATGGCACATGCGCACTGTACGAGTACGACAGTTCCACAACTTTCGAGACCCATTACTAGATTCCCCGCATTCAAAATACATTAACTTAATTTAATATTTAAAATAATTAGCAATCAACAAATTTAAAATAAATTAACAATGGATCAAAATGAAAACATTGCTAAACCAAGAGTTTATCTTATCTATTAAAAAAAAATTGGGAAATTAGTCAGACTCTGACCATACTGAGACTCTAACCTTAGTCGGACTTGTGGCGAGCATCGAATGGCGGGTCATGGTGGCCGGCGACGTAATCCAGGAGGCCCTGGGCGGCGTTGTGGAAGGAAGAAGCGTCGGTGGGGGAGAAAGGTGGAGTCTTAGCGAAGAAGATGACGAGGGCAAGGACTAGGGCTGTGGAGAGGAAGAGTGGCCAGAAATAGGTGAAGAGGCTCATCAATCTTGGACTTGAGGCCATCACTAAGAGGGATATGAGGGTCAGACACAACACAAGTGCCCCCAGAATATGGTACCTTAATTTCACCACTTTCTCTACGATCTCCATAGCCATGGGATTCGGAAGCTCACACCAAAACTCTTTCTTTTCGGCCTACACACTCTTTTTTTCACTCCCCTAATCACCATTTTATCCCCGCTTTACCAATCTACCATTTTTCTTCCCCTACCCTTCACGTGTAGGGTACTACTTTCTAATAAACTTTTACTTTACTTAATAAGAGGAATACTATTACAAATTATAAAAACTCAATTAAGAAGAGAATAAATACTCCATACACAAACACCAATTTAATTAACCACATCTCTGTGCTTACACATTTTCACAAGTAAAATGCTTGTGTTGAAAGTTATTTTAGCTGTGGAGGTCAGATAACATGTGCGTTTCATTAATTTCATTACTTAGCTTCCATCGAACAACAAGTTAAATAATGGTCCTCCATTTGTGAGAAATTGTTGGAATGCAACCCATCTATATTGATATGAGAAGCTTTTGGATGATAATAAAAAATCAAAAGTAAATTCATGAAATTTTAAAATCATATTATATAAATATTCATATGTGAGTGAACCAACAAATAAAATTAATGTTTGTAATATATACATGTTAAAATCATTTAATCTTTATTTCTATCAAAATTGGCTCAACATAATCTAATAGTTTTATATCAATTTTAAATATATGTTTGGTTAAATCATAGAATAAAATAAGTATTTAAGTTAAATTAAAATATATTTATAATATATAAAATTATTATAAATATAATATCATATGATGTAAAATATTATCTAATTAATTATTATTAATATATATTTTTTTAAAGACTTAGAATTTTTTTATAAAAAAATATAAGACATTATTACGACGATATAAAACATAACTCAAATTCACTGTAAAAATACATTAAATTTATTTTTTTAAACAACACAAACTTGAAAATATAATCCCTAAAAATACATTAAATATATTTTTTTAAACGCAAACTTGAAAAATATAATCTTGAGTTGAGCAAGATTAGAAGGATGGATTTGGTGAACAATACGCTCATGCACCACACTAATTTTACATATTTCATCTCCTTTTTCTCCATTTTAATTAGTTTTATTAAAATCTATGTACAACAAATAATACACAATATTTATTATTAGGGTTTAGTTACATTTAATTTTTTTATATAATTAATTAGTAGATAGATGACATTATCATGCTTGATAAATTTTATTTATATGTGAAAGTGCGTGCTTGGATTGTTGTTTGAAAAACATAAAATGTCCGTTTATGTATTCCACAACTCAGAATAGATAAAGAAGTATATCAATATATGAACCTCTTGAGAAAATGGTTGAGACGTGTATTAGTATGAATGGGGATCTCCACCCAGAATAAATATATAAAATCAAATTTATTTTATCTAACCTAGTTTTTTTTTTTGGAACAGACCTAAATCAAGTACTTTGAATTGCAGTGTTGGGATTATGATCTTGTGAATTGAAAGTGACAGTTCCTAAGCAATAGGTGTGTCCCTCACTCGCACCCTAGCATAGTTGCACTGCATTCCTATATGGTATTTAACGAAAGAGTTCATCATATATACACCTCTTTTATTTTATAAGTACACCTCTTTTATTTTTTTAAAAAATTATAATTTTCTTTTAGTTTTTAAAATTTTATATCTTTAATTTTTAATTTGTTATTTTCTTCTTCTTTTTTACATATATTTTTTTCTTTTTTAATTTTTATATATTATTAAAATAGGTGAGGTGAAAAAAAGGTAAAAGAGATACATGTAAAAAAAAAAAAGGAATGATGTGTGAAAAAGAAATAATAAATTAAATTTTGTAGATATAAAAGTAAATTTTTTTTAAAAAAATTAAAAAAAAATTTAATTTTTAATTTTTAAAAAAATGAGATGTATTTATTAAAAAAAAGAGGTGTATATGTCATGAACCTAGAATACGTCATGACTTTGATTACAGGCCCAAAAGCCCAAAAGGTGGGGTGGGGGGTCCAAAGATGAGACGAAGCCCATTAAGTTTGATGGTATTGTTGCGGTAAGAAACAGTAACAGAGGGTAGAAGGGAAAAATGGCGCCTGTGGCGGTGGTAGCGAGAAGCACAGGCGCCGTTGCTGTTGGATTTACCATCTTCGTGTCGCTCGCGCTCACTTATTTCATCTGTGATCGCCACACGAAGAAGAATAAGAAGAAGAAGAAGAAGAAGAAATCTAAGAAGGGACTCGTCGACGCCATCGGTAACACTCCCCTCATTCGGATCAATAGCCTCTCCGACGCCACCGGTTGCCAAGTCTATATACTTCTCTTCCGTTCTTTTTTTTTTTTTTAATCTCTTCTCTTTGCCAATTTCACTCACAACCAATTTCTCTTCAGATTCTGGGCAAGTGCGAGTTCTTGAACCCCGGAGGCAGCGTCAAAGACCGCGTTGCTCTTCAAATCATTCAAGAGGTAGCTTATTCACTCTTTTTAATACAATTATCAAACCCAATTTTCATATAATTTATTCATGTACTTAATTCATTTATGTAGGCTCTGGAATCTGGGCAGCTACGTCCAGGTGGAATAGTCACTGAAGGGAGTGCTGGAAGCACCGCCATTAGCATTGCCACTGTTGCTCCTGCATTTGGATGCAAAGCACACGTCGTTATTCCAGATGATGCTGCCATCGAGAAGGTTCTTTTTTTATTTATAATCAAGCAATTATGTTATCCAGTTAAGTTTTTGCATGTTTGGAGTAGCTTTTCCAAAACTAATCATAGGAGAGAAAAGTAGGAAGAAAAATAAAAATAAGCTAAAATTAGTTTATGTATGAGTTTAAGATTAGATTTTGGGGAAGTTAATAGTACAATTTAGTTTTATGCATAAGCTAATTTTAGTTTATGAAGAAGTTTATTTTATTTTTCTTTCAACTTTTTTTCTCTTAAAAGTGCTTCTAGAGAAGTTTATCCTAACCTCTTATGATTTTGTATATGATTTGATGACTGTCTTGTGTGTGTGAATTGACCTTCAGTCTCAAATACTTGAAGCCCTTGGGGCAACTGTTGAAAGAGTGCGACCAGTATCCATTACCCACAAGGACCATTTTGTCAATATTGCTAGAAGAAGGGCCTCTCAAGCAAATGAGTTTGCGTTGAAGAATAGAAATTCACAATCGAATGGCAAGGAGGACACTGAGAAAATAAATGGTTATGAATCTGATGGATACAATCACAGTTCGGTTTTTCCTCTCGATTGTCAAGGTGGGTTTTTTGCTGATCAGTTTGAGAACTTAGCGAACTTCAGGGCACATTATGAGGGTACAGGGCCTGAGATTTGGGACCAGACCAATGGAAAGTTAGATGCGTTTGTTGCAGCAGCTGGCACCGGTGGTACTGTGGCTGGTGTTTCTAGGTTTCTTCAGGTTCACCACAACCTCCACATTTTAGATGTTTTGAGTTTGGAAGTTGTCTGAATTATTTTTTTTCCTATGTTCAACAGGAAAAGAATCCAAACGTCAAGTGCTTCCTAGTAGATCCTCCTGGCTCTGGTTTGTTTAACAAGGTAACTAGGGGGGTGATGTACACCAAAGAGGAAGCAGAAGGACGAAGACTTAAGAATCCATTTGACACCATAACAGAAGGAATTGGAATTAACAGGATAACAAGGAATTTTGGAATGGCAGAACTTGATGGGGCCTTTAGAGGCACCGATAGGGATGCTGTTGAAATGGCTAGGTTATTGCTTACTCTTTTGTTAGCCATCCTACTTGTCTTTGGTGTTCTTTTTGTGTGTCAATTGGAAGAAATGATTTAATGAATCGATGACTGAATTTTTTGCCAACTGTTTTTAATGTGTCAGGTTTCTTTTGAAGAACGATGGGCTGTTCCTTGGGAGTTCTTCTGCAATGAACTGTGTTGGAGCAGTTAGAGTAGCGCAGGCAATTGGACCTGGTCACACAATTGTAACCATACTCTGCGACAGTGGAATGAGGCATTTGAGCAAGTTCTATAATGCTGAATACTTGTCTAAGCTTGGTTTGACACCGAAAGCAACTGGATTGGAATTCTTAGGTATCAAATGAGTAGGTTCCTCCGGAGTTTTGAAGTTTAAATGCCACTGGCTCGCTGTTATGTTACTGGAATTCCACTTGTCTGAGCTTACTTCGGATGAGAGTGGCTACCTAGAAGTTAGAACTAGGTTCATTGTAAGAACAGAGTTTTATGTTATCCCTGAAAAGCCCAAGTGAAATCACCTGGACGTCCCGGGAAGCTCATTCGAGTAGCGAATTTATTTTTGTTAGAGGGTATTGTAGTGATTAATGTAGAGGGTACTACACTTCTAATGCATTGTTTTGGGGGGTTAGGTATTACATAGCTCATTCTTGGTTAGACTTCATGATTTATTTCACTAGTTAACAATGACCTGATATTTGTAAACTAAACATTCAATTCAATACTATTTCATCAGTACAGGGATGAATTAAGCCTGCGGTTCTCGTCTTGAAATTAATGATACTAGAAATAGTATGCAGGGGAAAATTCATTGCATACAAAACAATGGTGCAAGTATCTAATACAATATATAATCCAACAAAAAAAAATTAAGTGTTATATTTTATTTTTATGTCAGTGATAAATACAAATTTACAATTTCTACAGTGGGGTTGATTCTGAATCTAACGCGACTACTGTTGGCCACGCCTTATGGAGATTAGTGAATCAAAATAGTAACCAATCCTGTTTGAAGAGACTTATATATGGAATGTCTCAATGATTTTGAAGTTCCTTCTGTCTTCAAAATCTCTTGGGTGACAATGAATAAATTTAGTTTGTATAACCTCACCTAATGGTACATGGTGAATTCCTCCTATTACTTTGATAGAACTGCCTTCTATCATCAGACATTAAACTTCTATCATCAAACGTTAACATAGTAATATAACATTTTCTTTTTTCAAATTTAAGAGCATCTTCCTCTTCAAATTCTATAATTTTACCCGCGGTTACTTCAGTACTATAAATATGAGCAATATCGTCCCCTCCCTGAAGTGTGCAACATGTGAAAAAGAACAATCGATATTCTTAAGGTTATGTTAACTAATGTTCTAAAATTGTTGGTTAAAGAATAAATGGATTATATTATAACATATACTAAAGGACATTGTCTCTGTACACATTTTTTAAATAATTTTACTTTAAATTTTTAAATAATAAAAAATAGGCTTAAATATATTTTTAATTCCTCAAATTTAGGGTAAATTTATTTTTCATCCCTCAAATTTAAAATAGTTATTTTTAATCCCTATAATTTCAAAAAATATTATTTTAGTCTTTATATTTAAATTTTGTTAAGAAATTTATTAAATATTATTGCATAAAATCTACATATTGATATTTCTATTAATGAAAATAATCATTAAATTTAATTGATATTATATAATCGTCTTAATTTGTCACTTTTAGATATATTATTGGTGATCTAAGAGATTAAAACAAGATTTTTGAAAATTATAGAAACTAAAAACAACTGTTTTAAATTTGAAAGACCAAAAATAAATTTGTCTTAAATTTGAGGGACTAAAAACATATTAAAATCTAAAAAATAATATTAAAAATCAATTAATCTTATAGAGATAAGACTTAAATTCAAAATCCTTAAGTTTAATGACCAAATGTAAACATCAATTGATCTATCAAACATTAATAATTTTTAAACACTTGTTGAATACAATATAAAAATACAAAGTGTCTCAATTTTATTGGTATAGATAATTTTTTATTATTGAGAATCATTTTAATATACATTGGAAATCAAATGTCAAAGTGCATTAATAACTAGTTGAAAACTTCAAATAAAAGCTTCACTTTTCCATTATTTAGATGCTGACTAACATATGTTTAGTCCATTTACTTTTTTATCAATTTTTTTTATAAACATGATTTATGCAGTATTTTAAAGTTAACAATCTAAAATCAATCCCCACTCATAAAACATGATTTTCACTGGTCAAAATATTATTTTGACAGTGATGAAAATTGATCCCAAAAATTTTAATAGGTCAATCTAATGTCTTTTTTATCAATTATTTTTAATTACAATCGTGAATTCTAGGTTTTTAAAATTAAATATTAAATACCAATAAAATATAAATTTAATTACCTTTTTGACTCCTGCAGTGTTATAAACTTTACCGTTAAGATCCTAGTATTAAAAACGTTCTCTTTTAATTCCTATACACATACTATTTTCGGGTCTTTTTAGTCCCCATAATCTATTTTTATAAGATTAAAAGATTAAATTTATGAAATTATAGTTATCAAAAAAATAATTAAACCTAAAATAAAAATAAAAATTTGACTTGAATAAAAAGTGATAATATTTTAAAATTTGATACAAGACTTTTATTATCAAACGAGTTAAGTGGTAAATTTATTGAGGGAGTACATAACCTCCGAAACTTGGGTCTCGGGAGATGGCATCAAACTGTATAACAAAGGTGAACAATCTCCAAAGAAAAAAATAGCTCAATGAAACCAAAATCTGCAATGCCATATCTATAGTATGATATCTCTATAGGAGGCCATTACCTCCTCTCAAACTGAGCTTCTTGGCAATGTGGATCTAACCAATCCTTGGGGGAAGATCCCTTTGCCATGTTCAAACTTACTTTACCCCCACCCACAAGCTCCCTCAGGTTATCCACCTTATTCTCCCTACCCGTCCCACTATTTCTCTTGTCAGCTTCTTTCAGTTTTTGTTTGAACCTCTGCTTCCTGTTAGATGAATTTAGCTCTTGCTGTTTTGCAAGTGAAGGAGGTGCTCCGTGTGGACCCAGATAGATGTTTTCTTCCTTCTTAGCCTACACAAACAATACACATTACCTTCCCAATCAGTTTCAAGTTTCAACATCTAAACCTGAAAACTATACAGTTTCTAATGAGAATCATTTCTTTAACTCACCTTTGCTCCAGAATTTGAAGATGCTACGATGGGAACATGAGGTCTACTTTGATCCGAGTCTCCAATTCCCAAACTTGGAATCACAAATCCATCGGTGTCTACAACGGAAAGAGTCCACCCAATCAAGTTCAAAAGTAAAATGCATTTTAGGCCCCCAGAAAGCCAGTGACTTAAAAACATCCAACAGAGTCACAGACAGCATAATAAATCGAAAATCTGATACATTTTCGCATACATAAAGACGTAAACAACATCTAATAACTTCACAAACCTATATCAGTGCTGGAATTCTCTGTATTCTAGGACATTTTTTATTCCAACCGTAACTAAATAACACTAATTTAAATAAAAACCAAACAATGTTGAAAACTGAATCAGCTGAATATCAAATTAAGTTGGAGCTATATGCATTCCACACGGATGTTATCCTAACACAACAGAAGGCACCGAGCACCACAAACGATGTTCCCGGACAAAAATTTCAGATAACAAGATAAACCCACAAACAGAACAGCGAATTAATAACCGATCCAATTGTCAAAATTTTGTACTGTGATTGAAATAAGATCCACAAATATGCAATAAATCAACAATAATCAACACAAAGAAATCTTCCTTGTCATTTTTCACAATTTAAAGCCGCCCGATTTGAAAATCCATCACTGATCTATTCAACCACCACTCTAACCCCCTAAAAAAAAAAAAAAAAAGATCCCTATTTTCCCCCTTCTCTGTCATCGATAACCCAATGAGAAATAAAATAAAAATGACCTGAAGGAGAAAATGACATACCCCACTCGTCTTCTTGTTCAATTTCAGGAGTGGTGAGCACTGGAGATGGGTCCATCGAAAACACTCGACCATGGATTAGAAGGCGCAGTGGGCGATGAAGCCCGATTCAAGACAGAGCAACCGAAATTTCACCCAACACCAATCTTCAGAAATAATAATATGCAAAAAAAAAAAAAAAAAAATCAATCAATCAATCAATCCAAAGATTGAAGATGCTTTCTTTGTGGAGGAAGTTGGGAGGGCAATTAAACCCTAACTCTAGGGTTTCGCTGTGCACGAGCGTTTGATTTGATTCCGTGCCAGAATTGCCCCGGGTATTTGGGGCTCAATTGTTTAAAGATTGGGCTCTGGTTCTCCACTGCTAGAGGGTACTCTTGTCATTACGATTCTCGAATGGAATTCTTCAGATTTTATGCTTTATTGTTTTTTTTTTTTCTACAATTAACAAAAAGATAAAGATTCCCAATTAAGTATAACAATTTAAAAAATTTGTCCTTATATTATATTAATTTAAGAGTTAATCATTCAAATACAATCAATTTTATATTAATAATTAATCTTATTTTTTAAATTATTTTATTTTATTAAATAAGTAATTAATATAACACTATTAAAATATATTATTGGTTATCAATATAAAAAAAATAATAAAAGATAAATAAAACTTTAAATCATGGTGGAGACTGACTTAACATATATTATTTTTAGTTTTTTAATATAAATTTTGAAATGAAAAATTATATAAATATAAGGATTAAAAACTTAATTTAGTCTATTATTTCATTATATAATTCTTTTGGCGGGAAGGGGTGTAAGAAATGAGAATTTTATCCATTAAATTGAAATTTAAAAGAGAAAAATTTTCTTATTCGGCTTTTGATTGGGATTTTACCTCAATATTATCTTCAAATGGAATAATAGAGAAGAATGTTTTTGCAAACTTAGTTTGCTAAATCAAATTCATCCAAACATGTACCTATGCTTTATCTTAGACAAGTTAAGTCCAACAACAACAATAGTCCTATTCACACGACCGTTTTAGTAACCTCTCCTAATTCTATCATATCCTTAGGATTAGATGAGTGGTTTATTTTTGTATCTCATCATTACTGCATGCTTACAAATAAAAACAATAAAATTCTATGAATCGATGAGTGGTTTATTTATTTAATTATATTATTAAAAATATAATATAAATAAGTAGGTCTAACAAATTTTTTTTATAAAAATAAATCCTATTTTTTAAAAATAAATATTTTTAAAAAAATAAATTTAACATTTTTATTAAATAAAATAGGAGAAATAAGACTTTAAATATTATTGGTAACAAGTTAATAAAATAAAAATATTATTTAATAAATTATGAAAAGTGGAGACTTTTACATATGTGTAAAGAAGAATAATGATTAAGGAGTAGGCATAATAATCCTCATGATTTCCCTGCAAGAAACACAATCAAAGTCACGAGAAAGCATTTGAACAATGCGATGTCTTTTTGTGAATGTCCTCTGTTTCCATCTCTTCATTGTCTTTCTTATAACATAATTTCTTCGTCGGCACGAGCAAATCATTATGAGTGAGATTAAGGCCAAGAATTGTATACAATAAGGTAGAAAAGGGTTAAAAAAGTTGACAGGGGCATTGACGATTCTGATATGTAACTGCAATTTTTTTTTTTTCAAGAAATCAATAATAAGATTAATGCATTCAAGACTCTTACCAAATTTTTGCTTAAACAAGAGAAACATGCATGTGATCACATTAATCAGACGCCATTTAAAACTTGCATTATTCACCAAGATCATTTTGTTCATAGAACAGAATATTATAACAATTAGCTGTTGCATCAAAATATTTCTAATTATTTTGCTAACCCTTGCAGCGCATTGGTTAAAAAATTATAAGAGAACATTTTTTTATTTATTAAAAATGAAATATTATTAACATATTTTTATTGTAATTTTAATATAAAAAAATTAACTATTACCCATCACTAAACTGTATAGTTAACACCTTTCCTAAATTTTTGTTCATTTTTTTTTATATTACTCTCAAGTTGAACAGCATGTGTAACGTATACATTATCACTAGCACGTTATTGCTATAAAATAATTAGGAAAGTCTATTAATTAATTCTCTGTTTCATCCACATATGTAAAGAGAGTCTTCAGTAAATACAAGAAGTAGATTTAGATCGATATATTGAAAGCAAAATCTAGTCATCTAGCTGTATAAGTTGTTCAATCTACCTCTTTTATGCAAGCTCTTAAAACATAATAATGCAGGAGTTCTCACGTTTACTAGTGATATAAAAAAAATAGAGTATATAATTGAAGTATATAATTCAATTTTATAAAGTTGTGTTAGACATAAATTCACATTCAAAAGGTTACCAATCGCCAACTGTAACTGAGTGGTCCTAGTAGCTAATATGTTACCTAGAGTGTAACACGATAATAATGGACAATACCTAACAATGTAACCAAAAGAAATCTCTTCTACAATGGGGCCTCCACTCCATTAAAGCGTGCATGAGCATGCCATGCAGAAGCAGAAAAGGACTTCAGAACAATTACTGCTGCGTGGCTGATGAGCCAAGACAATAATAGAAAGTGGACATTATTACAGAATATTGATCATTTAATGAGTCTTAGTTTATTAAATATTGTAGTTGTAGAGGCAAATTATTGTCGACCTGCCATCACTCTCGAAATTTATTGCCGCAAATGAACTAATGTGATCAATTCAAACGTATGTGATGGGGGAAAATGTCACACTAGGAAAGTGTCTCAACAAAAAACTCCCATAAAGAAGTGACGTTGTGAGAAATTTGTGGTCAGTTTCCAGTTTTGGTATGTTGAGTTTCTTTAAATTGAGAATAAATAGAGGGAGAAGCAAGGCCCTTCTTGAGTATATTTGGTTTCTCTTTTGGTGAAATTGTTTTCTTGGGTCCGGTATCTTGCCATGTGTGGTCTGACACATGCATTCGACAAGTCCAAGGCTTTGAGGTTGTAAATATTCTTGGAAAGCAAACAGCTTTGGTTTCTCCAAGAGAATCAGATGCAGTTTATAAATAATATAAGGTTTCGTGTCAGAGAAAAATAGAAGAAAAGGTTCGGTTTACAGTTGCCAGTTGGATTCCTTGCTAGTGGAGTTGTTCAGCACTGAAAAGGGACCTGATCTTTCAAGAATCAGAAATCACCAAATGTCACCTTTGTAAGGTTTGATGAAAAAGAATATCTTTTCTTTGGGGTTCAAGCTTTGATCTTATGAGTCTTCTTATTTATAATTGAAAAGATAAAACTTTCTCTCCTTGGCTTCCTGCTGTTTGATATTTTAGCAACTGTTTACAAAACAGGCAGCAGTGTAGAAGCTGAAAGTTATTATTAACTTATAGTTTAAAAGGCTCTTTTGGCACTCCTTTGTTGTAGCACATTGAAAATTTTCTTTGCCTTGCTTTAAGACGAATAAGTACAAATTGAACAAATTTTCTGCCATTTGTTTGCACCCTTTGTTGGGTGAGTTGGATCTTTGCATTTGGTTTGGCTTTCACACAAGTATGATCATGGTGAAAGTAACCGAGAAACAAAGTTGTCACAAGCTTGGTTCCAATTTTTCCAGTTTCTTACCGATCATTCTTGTTCTTGTTCTTGTCCTTGTATTGTCGATTTTCTTTTTCTTTTTAGTTTCTGAATCCTCACCTTTCCTTCTTACACTACTCATTGCTCTTCTATCTACTTTGTTTCTTGTTACACTGACAAAGAAAAAAGTGTCCCTACATGAAAATTTTGTCCAAGATAACCAGCAGAAATTGGAGTTACAGCTTTCATTAGATGTTATTACTCAACAAAGTGAAACTTCTCAGAGCCAAGTTGAAGCAGAGTCAGAGTCAGCATTTCCATTGGATTCTGAAAGCAGCAACATCAGTGATGAAAGTTTTGAACTCAGTGCAGAGAAGTATGAGCAAAAAGCTGATCCACAAGCAGATACTTCACTTCCATCAGATAGTGAAAGCAGTACTAGCTCAACCATGGGTGAAGAAGGTATTGAGATTCATCACATTAGAAATCAAAATGTTGATATATATGATAGCTTTCCCATTGGTAATGATGAAGAGGAGGAGGATGGCTTGATTGAAATCAAGCTTCCAAATAACCACTTTTCAGAGTTATTGCCAGAATCCATTTTCAAACAGCAAGGTCTCAAAGAGCTCTTGGCAGAAATTAATGAGATGAATGATGATGAAAATTTAATTGAGATTGATATTTCCAAAGGATCCACAAAATATCAAGATTTGAGATTGGATAAGGAGTTGGTTTGTTGAGGAGATCATTGAGTTCTTAAAGATTGATCCTTTATTACTAATTTTTATCTTGAACTGCTATTTTAGGTTAAGTTATAGTCATTAACTATTTTCCTTCTTGATGTTTAGCAAAATTTTGTTCTTTTCTGTTAACTTGGCTTTAATCTTAAGATGCAAATTTTAAATGATGCACTAGTTCTAATCTTAATTAAAACTCTTAATTTTATCGGTTTACTTTCGTCAGATTACAGAACATAGTATGATTTTGTTTGAATGCTTTTAGATCCACAAAGGAACTTTTTTGAGTGCGTGTCATCAAATTGTTTTGTTATTTTCCTCTTTTCCATTCTCTTCAAAATTCAAATCTCTCATCAAATCTTTGCATGCTATACAAGTTACAAAATAAATAAAAGCCTTTTGACCATTAAAAAAGATATGTATGGACAAGACTATCCTTACATTATTGTTTAAATAGTTAATTAATAAAAAAAATATATAATTATTTAAACAATATATTTTTACATAAAAATTTAATTATATAAAATATATTTTTAAAATATCAATTTTTCTTTATTTCTCACATAATTTTACTCTATTAAATAAATACAAATTTTACAGTATTTCTTATTAAATCAATTCTCATTTATTCTCCTCCATTCTCCTCAATTCTCCCCCCTCTCCCAAAAAAAAAAGTAACCTATTTGTTAATGCACTTATTTTTAAATCATTTACCAAACTACTCTCAATTTTAATAAGTAGTTGGATAGATAATAGGGAAATCTGCAATTTAATTAGTAAGATTTAAAAAGTTGTATTTTGTTCTTTGACATTTTAAAGATGTATACAATAACCCTTCTGTAGCTAATTAATTAGAAAAACAGTTAATATGTATCAAATTAGCTCGAGAAATTTTAGTTTCAATTATCATCAATGTCAATGTTGGATAGATACCCACAACTTCAGGTTTATTTTCATGCCTATATAAAATTGAGTGATGCACCACAACTTTAGAGACCAAAATAAAGTTGTTAAGGGTAGAGATTAAATTGATCAGCCCGTAATATTTAAGACTAAAATGGTTGAAAATTACTATTTTTAAAGATTGCTTATTTTAACGATTGTTGATTACAATTCAAAAATACTCTTTTTTTTTTTAATTTTAGAGAGTAGATAATTTTATGAATTAATTTGATTGTTTATCTTTTAAGAAGGGTCGTTAACTTTAAATTTGTTTTTCCTAATTATTGTTTTTCTAGCTTTCTACAGATATGGATCCATGACAAAAATATTTTTTAAAGAGAAATTTACGCATAAGCCATTAAACTAGTGGCGTGGTCTAGAGAGGACTCATGGGCTTTTTCTATTTCTCATTAAAAAAAGGCCCGAGCTTACACTTCGACACTCAACCATAATTATACATTAAAATGAAATATAATTTATATTTAAATATACTTTTAATCTCTAAATTTATTTTTTATTTTTAAAAATTTTAAATTATTATTTTTAATCTTATAAATTAAAAAGTTTATTTTCAGTCCCTTTATTTAAATATCGTTAATATTATCACATTAAACTTAGTATTATCACAATAGAAATTATGTATTAATGTCTTTATTAATGAAAATATTATCACATTAAATTTAATAAATGTTTTGTAACAAACTCAATATGCCCTTTAAGTGAAACTACAAGTGGTCCAAAGAGACTTTGATGTTGTCTAACAAACTCAATATGTCCCTCATGCAAGCATAATCACAGTTATATATTCATTGATGTTATTTTTATGAGAAGGCAACTCAGTTGCAAATTTCTTGGCAAAAGAAGACAATATATCTCTTGTGTTTTTTATTTTAATTTCTGAGTGTTCATCGTCTTTATTTTTTTTTTAGGTGATGCAATGAGCACTCTACTTGTCCTTGTCAAATAGTAGTCATCTTTCCTTTCTATTGTTATTTTTTGTTTTCATACTCATAAAAAAAAATTAAAGAGACTAAAATAATTAATTTTAATATGAGAAACTAAAAACAAACTTATCCCAATTTTAAGGAGAGTATAATATAATTTTAAGGTCTTTCCAAAAAGAAAAACAAAAGAGTATAATTTACTTTAAAACTAATTTTAAATTCATAATTATTTTTATGAAAAAAAATGAATTTTGTGCATAAATAATAAAATATAAATGTTAATTATTTCAATGTTACCATTAACATATTAATTTTTTTATCATTAGTATTAAAAGTATTTCTTTATTATTTGTCAATAGACTAATTCTCTTGATATTATATAAAAAGAGTAAGTTTTAAAAGATCGATGATTATCTATTTTTTAAAAATTTCCTTCATATTCTCCATTGTTATGAGTATTTTTCGTGAGACTTCCTTCGTACTCTCTATTGTTATGAGTATTTTTCGTGAGACTCTAACATATTTGACATCGAATATATAAGTTTAAGTGCATCCCTATATAAACCTTAATAACATCATAAATTCACTGAAAATTTACTTTTAGAATAATAATTTTTGACTTCTTGGTAAAACACAATACTCACTTTTATTCTTCTAACTAATGCTTTGTAAGACTTTGTACTTGTTTGAAGGTTCAGGCCCTATATATTTAGAGTAGAATTACGCCTCTATCATCATGACGAGATACTTTTAAATGTTAGATATAGTTATAATGAATAAGTGGCAGCAGGTAAAAGAAAAATAAAAATTGGCGTAAGTAACCAAAAGAGAGGAACAAATAAAACGAAACAAAACAAGGTAAAGGACGTGAAATGAATAATAGAAATTAAAGCAATGATGCAAGGGTCGGTGACGGTGACCCAATGTGCAAAGTCACCATGCATGTATGTGACCTTTGACTATAACACTAAACTAATGCCACCCATTTGCTTACTTGAAAGGCCTATGTCTCCACTTGATTAAATTATTGTGTGTGTGTCTGTGGTTGGGTGTGTGGTCTGAAATATATAACTCATTCTTCTGCATATCCTCTCCGAAGAGGCTGTGACTCATTGTTCCACAAGAATATATTAATTTCAAAAGAACCTAAGTTTATTAGATGATCAGCAGTTAACTGTTTATCTCTTTAGAGGGAATATTATTAATATTATTGATTCAGTTTGAGGTACGAGGTTGTCATTTAACGGTATCTATATCTTAAAAAAAAATTAAAAAGAAAAGATAAGCAGCTTTTCTAATACAAGAGAATGAAAAGATAAAAAAATGCCTGCATCCTCTTTGTTTCATATTTTTGGGAAGTTTAATTATCTTCTAGCTCAAGATAGATAATGCCAAAATTTTATAAAGTAAAGATTATAAATTTTTTTTCCCACATCTTAATATTTATTAGAGTACAATGAATTAAAGTACGAACAAAATCTTAGATTATAATTTTATTATCACTATTGTACCAATAAAAATAAATAAATAAATAAATTTATGAATGACTAAGGTGTAGCAATAGTTAGGTGGACTAATAATTTACTAGTTATATATAGTAGGTGAATTTGGTTACACTAAAAAAATGTGGCACCATCAATCTTTACAAGTTTTACATTGTTTGTCACCCTCTCCACACTGAACTCTCTCGCATCTTTTAGATTAGAGATCTAGGTCATTTTCTATTTTTCTATAGTATATATGGACCATATTAGGTATTCATTAAAAGTAGCCACAAATGCGCACTACCATTTTTGAATCTCTATATGTAGATCAAAACCCTTTTGAAGAATGATAGTTGTTGAAGTGAGAATACCTGTGGATAATAATGAAAATTCCTATATAACATTCAATTCTTTTTAATTTATGTTTAGTAATTTTGAAAAATTACTATTAAATTCATTTGCACCGATTATTTCCCGTCTCATTTTGAACTCATAACAAGTTCTGCATATTTACAACATAAATTGAATTCATATCTTTTTGAATTACGATGAGCCTTCTCTCCAACATTAAAGCAAATATATTGATAAACTCGCTTGTTTTTACATCCTTTCCATGACAATGACATTAGGCATTGTTGTATATGTATGGTAAAATTTAATTATTGAAATATTATAACATTTCACTTGTATTAATATAAAACTCAAAACATATAAGTATTGGAAATTGTATGGGAGAAATATCCAGCGTGCTTAATGGTAATATGAAAATCATTTCATACTTCGACTTGTACGGTAAACTTCCCATACTTAGGGTAGTAGTATAAGCACCATGAATATGCCACGTTATGCGGAAATAGACATTGAAGATTAAATTTGCTTGAAAAGGAAGAAAAGTCACAATGACCAAACTATGCACTCCACGTCTTGTGCCCTACAATTAAATTATTCACATCGAATCATTTATGATGATGTTTGGTTGAACAAGAGCTGAAAGCTTTTGAAATAAAATCCTATAATTTTTACTGAACCAAAGCTGAAAGCTCTCATCGATTTCAAAGCCTGAAAATTTACTTTTAAGCAAAAGTGAGGCGAAGAAAGAAGTAATTCCAACTTGTTTGAGATTGAAAGTCTCCTAGTAATAAAAACCAAAGAAAGCTACTTAAGCTGAGATGGACATGACACCTAAGGTCCATTGTGAGGGTCAATATCATGTCATAAGGTGGGAGAGTTCCTCCTATAATTAAGGTACCAAAGCTACGCAATGGGTGCAGCAGTCTTAGAACATGTACGTGCAAGTCGAAGTAACTATGGAGCAGAATCTGAAACCGTGTGGTTAATTAGATTTGGGTTGCCTTGAAGAATCGAAATGGATCTAAAGGAAATGAATTAATTTGTAACAAGAGTAAGAATATGGACCTTATAATTAAATAGCATAAATAAGAAATAAGAAAAGGAAATTGTAGTGAGTTAAGATAAAGAAAAAGAATGAAAAATGTAAGAGATGGTTGGATATATTTATTGATGTTGATAAATGTAAAGAATTTATCCGCAATGGAGAGTTATCGAGTAAGAAGGGTGGAGAGGGGGTCCACGTGTCCAGCAGATAAAGGCTTAATAAGTAGTGATTGGTGAAGTGTGAAGTGTGAAGTGTGAAGTGTGAAGTGAGTGGAGAAGATGGGTGACTCGGATAACGACTCGGGCGGGGCGGCGAACAGGAGTGAGTTGTCGCCTCGGGAGCAGGACCGGTTCCTGCCG